ATTCTCCTCTCTCCTTGTCCCACCTACTTCCTGCCTGGCCACTGGCCAATCAGTGTTTTATTTATTGACCAATCAGAGCAATTTGACATACAGACCGTCCCACAGCAGGGCACAGAGTTCTGAGGGAGCAGTTTTTCCATCTTCCATATTTTATGGAGAGAATGTCTGAGTCTCACAGACAGACAGACAATGCTACAGAGAAGTAAAATCAATATCACTGGTGTCTTACTTGCTGCTTGAGCTAGGAACTGAGGAAGTAAAGAAAACCCAAAGATGTCTGAAGAAATAGGAGAGAAATTCTCAGAAAGGGGCCGTTACTTCAACAGTCTGAAGCCAGTTTAATCAGGACAAATTTAGTCTCTGGACAGATCAGCGTGACTCTCGGTCTCCGTGGGTTATAACCTATGTCTGGTGGAAACAAAACGTTTCCAGCTCAAATAGATAACATCAGAAAACCATCAAACAAGCACAATGATTTTTACAGAATCCTGAAGGAACCCAAGAAGTAAGACAAAAGAAGATGTATAAAAATCTATCTAGTTTTTTGGAAACTAAATGACTACAAAAATATCATCTCTAAAAATACAAAAAAAAAAAAAAGGATTCCATGAGGGAAAATAGAGAGCAAAAATTTGGCATACAGATGTCAAAACTCCAGTGTCAAAGAGGTTTTGAAAACTGGTCGTGCGTCACCATTTTTTTTATATATATACCCAAAGATCAGTGTGACAGGCGCACACTTGCCAAGAGCAATGGGAAGGTTTTTAATGCCCTAAAAATCCTCTTTTCAGAGACTCTCTGGCAACAGAGCTGTAATAAATGTGACCTGGGAAAAAGAAAGAGAGAGGTGGCTGCAGCTGGCGTGCCCCCCAGTTCATCTCTAAGGCACATCTCACTCACAACCGTCTTGTCTTCTCTCCTCCAGGAAACGCCCAGAGAAGAAATGACCATGGCCAAGTTAACCGAATCCATGAGTGAGTAACGCAAAACTTATTCTTTACTTCTTGTTTTGAATGGAGAAATAGAGCAAACCCTGTCTGTCTGCCTCGGGCTTCTCTTTCATTCCTGGGAGAGCTCAGGCCCATCTGACCCAGGATATGACACTGCTTCTGTATTGCCTTACACAATACTCAAAATTCATCTTGGTTGGGATCAAGTTTCCAAACTAAACTTGTTGCCCACGAACAGAGCTAGAGAATGGAAATGGATTCATTTTGTGTTCCTGCTTTGGGGGTTGGGAATCTGCAGTAAGGTCAACCTGACTTGTTAGAGATTTAGCCCAAGCTGGGTGAAGTTTGATGGGCGCCTGTCCGGTGGGCTGGGCGGTGTAGAAGAGGAAGGACTGATGAGTCATGTTTAACCTATCAGGTGTCACTCAGAGCTCCCAACAGACTAAAGAAGAGTGCCTGAAGTGTAAGTAGCTTGCAGTAATTTCCATTCTGAATAGATCTGTGACATAATGCCTTAAGCTCTTAAGCTGAATGAATGGAACCCACAAAGCATCTTTAAGAAGGAAGGGAAAATAATTACAATAAATCACTCTTCAGATGACAAGTGCAATTTCCTCTGCTGACATGTAAATAGTAAAGCCAAGGAGATAGGGAATGAGCTGACTATTGTTTCTTTTGGAAGTATGCGTCGCTCCTGATAACAGTTTCCACGTGGACAGTTCCAGAAGGTTTGCAAACACTTCTGCATTATCATCAGAGCGATGAACTGCCTTCTTTTAATCCTTTGGTGGTGTGACTACTAAGGTTGACTATTCCTCTACGGCCAAGTGCCTCATCCTTACATGGTTTGGGTCCCGGGACCCTCACTAGGGGCAATGAGGGAATAAGTAAAGGACAAACATATGGACAGAGAAGAGCTGAGGTTGGGTGGGCTGTACTTGCTCTGATGGAGGAGCAACAGCTCTCTGGAAACTCAGTGTGTTCATTCTGTGTGGTCAAACGGGAAGGCAGGATTATTGCATATAGCTGAACATGGAGGTGGGTTTCGCTTATCTTCTCGGGAGAGCAGTCTTTAGGATGTAAACACTGAGGGGGGAAGTTAGGGTGCACATTTTCTGCACACTGTCAGCATTCACACTCCGGCCGGAGGAAGGCTTTGTCAGCCCTCCAAGCCTTACCCAGGAAAAGTGTCGCTGCTTCTGTAGGGCTGATGGCATTGGTCTTTGACACTGTGATGCCCATGTCAACAACACGTATTCACTCAGGACTTAACTCACTCCCTACAGCAGAGTCAAAAATCTTAATACCCAATACCTTCCAGCCCCTAAATAAGATATCAGAATTGCTTTATTATTGCTTCCCCTTAACTCCTGACCTCAAACCTCTGTATGAGTACAAATAGGTCCTCATCTTAGGCCAACGTCATCGTGTGACCAAGGGTTGCGTGATCAGAAGGACCAGGCACAAGCCTCCGTTGGCTCTTCATTTCTGTAGCATCCTCTGCCCTGCTCACTGCACCGTCCTGCTCCGCCTGAGGTCTTGCTCATGTTGAAAACATTTCCCACTTGGTTTGAGGCCCCACAAACTGGGTCTTTATAAGTAAAAGCATCTCAAAGTGGGCTCTTGTCAGGTCTGGCAAGAAACAGAATCATGCAACTTTCACAATATGGTACAAATGAGGAGAGGGACATGGACAGTGGCCACTCCTTCACAGTCTGCAGCTCAAAAGCTAAGTCCTTATCTCTACATTTTAAGGACCAATGTAAATGAACAATACATCATCATCTTCCTCTTCCTCCTCTCCTGTTTTCCAATTTTCCTTTTTTTTTAAATTCTGCAACTTTTCTCACTCTGGTGGGTGCTTGGGTTACAGACAATGAGCCACTATGCCCAGCTCCACGGTGCTAAAACCGTAATGGCTGAGAACCTAGCACTACTGTCCACAAATGGGGATCCAGTCTCCACTGTGTGAGTAAATTAAGCCAGAGAGTGTTAAACATGGGTTGTGAGGCTAAAACTTCATTACAAAGCCTCTGTTAGAAACTTACTCTCTGATGCAATTAATATTATGTCTTTACTCTCCTAATAAAATCCTAAAGTATTGTACTGTCCTGGCCACTATTTATGATTAAAGTGTCTTAAGACTGCTGTCATGTTCAATGTGGGATATCCCCTCTTGGCTGTCATGGGGTTAGGGTCAAATTTCAGATTCATCTCCTATTTTTCTAGTGACTTTGGATCCTCTGCCTCGGGAAAACACGATCAAAACTGAATCCTGAATTCTTGATATGAGAAAAGGGGACAGCTGTTCTAAACTGCTCTGTATTTAGGGGGAATCACAGCTATGTCCAAAGTACAAGGAAACTTAAGGCTTCAGAAAAGACTTCATGATCGTGTCCAAATGTAGCAGTTCACTGGTTCTTAGAAAGATGTCCAACTTCATGAAGTATACCAGACATACCAGTCCTCTTCTAGATTCCATGAAATAGAATCGTGGGTTAACGAATAAACGTGATATTAAAATTAAACTCATGAATGATGAAAGATACAACTGCATATTTACTCTGCTTAAAACATTGATAAGGAAAGAGGATCATCATTATGTAAGGAGCTTCAAATCAATAAACTGTGGAGAGAATGAACAGTTACCACTCCATAAAACGAGTGGGAACATCGCATCCGTGGCCACCGGAGAAAGGGGACATAAACTGAATCATGGATGCCCAGGACACGGTGCTCTGAAATGGATTTTCAGAGCTGGTAAACACTTGACTTGACACACTGCCAAGCAGAAGCCATCTGGTTACCAGATCGTCTCTATGTTTATGAGAACTGATGGTAGAGCTTCTCATACTATCTATCTAAATGCTGTTGAGGACTCAGCAACCCACACATTCCTCCCTGCATCTCCCCATCCCACGCCACCAACCAGCCACCTCAAAACACTCAGCCACGAGAAGCAAAAATATCAATAGATCACTGTGTCCAATGAAAAGCAACTATATTTAATAGATATAATACTTCAAAATATTTTATGTCTTATTTTCCAAGTGAGGAGAGGAAAATAAAAACAGGATGAGAGGAAAATGGCTTGGAGGAACAGAGAAAGCAGAAACATGGGAGATTTATATTAGAGAATTCAGAAGACAGACTAAACCACAAAGGGAAGCGGTAAGGCAGAGGGGCAAAGAGGGGGCAGCGAGAGGTGACAAGGGAGGCCAGTGGGGTCCAAACCTCGGCACGGTGCACAGACCAGAACTGGCTGCCTCCTTGCAACCTTCTGATGGCTGCTTTTTAAATAGCCCTTAAAACTGTAATCTCTGAAAATTGTATCTTTGAAATGGGTATTTTCCTACTTGCTCTGTCAGAAGCCCTATTTAAAAAAGAGCAGACCAGGGCTGGAGAGAGAATGCAGTGGTTAAGATAACTAACCGCTCTTCTAGAGGACCCAGGTTCGGTTCCCAGCACCCTTGCTGCCACTCACAACTCCCAGTGACTCCAGTTCCAGAAGATCCGACTCCTCCCTCTGGCCTCCACAGGCACCTGACATACACACGGTGCACAGACAGACATACAGCCAAAACACTTACACACAAAAAAATAATGAGATAATTTTTCAAAAGTAAAAAAGGAGCCTCCAGAAATCTCACAGTGGAAGAAGTTGCTCTGAGCCTGCCCTTCCAGCACCCAGGATTTCAATGCCTATCCATCGAATGGAATCGATCTGGAAGACAGAGCCCAGTGGAGCTAAGCGCTGTCTATAAATAGACACACAAAGACTCACACTGTGCCATCATCAGAGGTGACGCTGGAACAGCTAAGTCCTGACGTGAGCTCTCAAGCCAAGGTCCCATGATGACAAACTAGAAGTACAGGGTTGTGCAAACACCCAAGGGTCTCTAAAGTCACGCTCAATACCTGTGCAGTCTCTGCTCACATAAATGTTCTAAGTAAATGGCTTCATGGTGGCTGCCTGCCGCTGTTGCTCCTGCCCCCCCCCCCCCCCCGCTCCAGGGCTCGTGGGAATGTGTTGGGATTGCAATCAGGATCTGACCCTGTATGAGGTGATGGGGTTGCAAGGATGAAAGGGGTTGGGGACTTGGACTGGTACCTTCTCCAGCGGCATGAGGTCCCCATGCATTCCCTGCTGCTATCCTGGACTACGCTCTTGCCTCTTCTCCCAAACAGCAGCGTATTTACAGGACACTGCTGCCTCCACAGATGGAGGTCTCCCGATGTGCATGTAGCTGATCCTGATAGGCCTAGAGCTGACCTGCAGCCTTCTGTCTCCATCTTGCCAGCCTCTCTTCAGGCACATGTGTCTTAAGCCTTTCCTTTCCTAGCCAGTGTCCCTTGTGGTCCTCATGGTCATCTCTAGGGGTCATTCTGCTCTGTGTGTGCATCCCACATAGACATCACAATGATAACACTGATCCTGGGAAAGGGAAACAACTACCCAGCACCCTTTGGGAAGAAAGTACAGAGTGGCAGCCTGCAGCCTTCTGTTCAGTGGCTTCAGAAACTGTCCATATCTAGCCAAGGGAGAGACAAGTAATCTCGAGAGACAAGGATCTGCCCTAGAAGATGTTCAGAGATGTCCCTGTACTTTAAAGTGGAGGGAATTCCTACCCTGATTAAAGAGCCAGCTCAAATGTAGCTCAGATTTGAAATTTTCTCCTGTCAAATGAAATGAGGAGATGGAACCGATTACAATCACCACACGTTAAATTAGCTCTATTAAAGCAAAGTGGTTTTTAATCATGTCTCCTAAGAGGAGCAGCTGGTGAAACTCTGGCATTGTGATAAGGCATGGAAAAGTCAGGAGACAGGTTCCTTCATGTGTAGCCTTTGAGGAGCTAACACCTAGATTTCTGGGAACACATGCTGCAATGACGACCCAACAGGTAGACACAGGAGGCAGGCACAGGCCTGCAAGGCTCCTCCTTCAGACCCCAGCATGCCCCTAGGCCTGAAGGACACCTACAGGGTGAGTAGGCTTCCAGCAGGCTGCTGCTGAGGATGTG